TTTTTAACATGGTATCAGAGCACCGTTTCTGGTGACTCTGAATACCCAACGCTTCCGCACATTAAACAAACGGTACTATCATCATGAGTGAATCAGCAACCAATCCAAAACCAACAGAGATGGCTATTGACATCTCGAACCCATTCGTATTACATCCCTTTGATCAAGCTGTAACATTTTGGTCTCCAAAACTCTTCAAGGAGACAACTACAACACATGGAGCCATGCTATGTGCATCAGTCTAAGTGCGAAGAACAAGCTGGGCTTGGTCGATGGAACCATTAACCCTCCTGCTAAAACAGACAAACAATTTGCATTGTGGCAACGATGCAATGACATGGTCCTCGCGTGGATCTTGAACTCTGTGCATGAAGACATCGCAAGCAGTGTTTCTTACTAGCCATCAGTAGCAGATGTGTGGGTAGACTTGCTTGATTGTTTTTCCTAGGGAAATGATTCGGATGTTTATCAAATTAAGAGTGAAATTGTTGAACACAGACAGGAGCAACAATCGATCTCAGTCTACTACACAAAGCTGAAAGCATTATGGGGTGAATTGACATCTTACCATGAGCCTCCAACATGCACTTATGGGGGCTTGAAGAAGATTAATGAGCAAGATGTAAAGGAAAGGGTGATGCAGTTTCTCATGTGATTAAATGAATCATATGCCGCGGTACGTGGGCAAATCTTATTGATGCAGCCACTTCCAGACACTCGGAAGGCATACTCTCTTGTTCTACAACAAGAGAAACAAGTGGAGGTATCTCTCACTCATAATAATACCAATTTACATGCTATGAATGTAACAAGCAATAGGGAACCTGCTGCACAACGAGGTAACCGGTCTCTTAAATGCTCCTATTGTGATAAAAAATAACACATCGTGGATCGCTGCTTCTATCTCTACGATTTCTCGCTAGGGCACAAATACCATGGCAAGAAGGTAACACCTCCTAACAAGAGGAAACCTGCGGCCAACCAAGTAAAGACTGGCGATGAAGTCGCCAAAGTTGTTGATCGGCACCATAAGGGAACCACCTGTGATAGGCCCAAATTCATTGTTGAAAAGTACAATCAAATCATGGAAATGCTCAAGAAAAACAATCTTGACGGTAATCCGTAACACTTTGCAAATGCCACTGGTACACTTACACCCTTGTCCAAGATGTCAGAAGTTTTACCACAACAAACCCTCTATTGGATCATTGATAGTGGGGCAACAGACCACATCTCTCCTTCACCTCACTTACTTGACAAGAAAGCCTTATCCATGTTTGATTCTATACAAATGCCGAATGGGGGAAAGGCCACCATAGATTATGTTGGTTCCGTCCAAGTCACTCCTCTTATTAAACTTGATGATGTGTTACATGTGCCTAATTTTTAAGTCTATTTGTTATCCGTTAGCAAACTCACCGAGTCCTTACAATGCATAGTGATTTTCTTTCCCACTTTTGTGTGATACATGACATGGATACGAGGAGGACAATTGTCCTGGCAAGCGATATAATAGGCTCTATTACTTATTGTCAGCACAAACACCTTGCCCACAACATAAGCCACCATTCAAACCTTTTGCACTAACGCTTAGGACATCCTTCCACCAGCCCTCTACAAGTTTGACCAAGCAAGTTCCAACTATTATGTTTGACTATAGTCATTCGTGTGATATTTGCCCTCTTGCTAAGCAAACCCGTTTATCTTTTCCATCAAGTTTTATTTCATCTAAAGCACCTTTTGGTTTAATACATTGTGATATTTGGGGACCCCATCGAGTCAATTCCCATTCAAGGGCTCGATATTTTTTTACCATTGTTGATGATTATTCTCGTTATACTTGGATTCATTTTATGCGTTTAAAGTCTAAAACACAAGGGTTGTTATGCTCCTTTATTGCTTGGGTTCAAACACAATTTAATTGCATGATCAAAACACTTAGGGCAGATAATGGGGTTGAATTCACTTCTTTACAATCATTATTTGATAGCAAGGGATCATGTTTCACACATCTTGTCCTTTAACTCCCTAAAAAAATAGGGTAGTTGAAAGGAAACATCGTCACCTTTTAAATGTTGGGAGAGCACTTCAATTTCAAGCCAATTTACCTTTAACATTTTGGGGGGGGGGGGGGAGGGGGGAAGAGTTCAAACAACATGTTATTTAATTAATTGTTTACCCACACCATTCCTCCAGCACAAAACCCCTTTCGAACTTTTGCATCATACCCTTCCAGATTTTACCCACCTCAGAGTTTTTGGTTGCTTATGCTATGCCATGAATCTCATCCATGCACACAAGTTTGATCAACGTGCTCAAAAATGCATATTTGTTGGATACCCTTTTGGTCAAAAGGCTACCGTGTTCATGATCTTACTACCCACAAAATTTCCACTACTTGTGATGGTGTTTTTCATGAAGATCAATTTTCCTTTATTTCCTAGTCACCAGATCACCAACCCGATAGTGTTGTCTTACCTCTACCTACTGATCCTACCATTTCCACGCCTTCAGACCCTACCTTTGATCCTACATTTGCCACGACCTTGCCACATCCTACTACAACACCTCCAAACCCACCACCTCCCACGGACCCACTTCACCGAGTCTACCCATATGCCTTCCACCTCCCCGACACCACCTTCCCCCATTTCCCTGGCTACCAGACAATCTCACCATCCCACTAAACCATCTGTGCGACTCCAAGGCTACCATTTATATCATATACAGTCTCTTGCTCCCGGTGCCAACTCTTTATCCATGTCAGATACTCGTTATCCCTTATCTTACTATGTTTCTTATGCTCATCTTTCTTCTTCCCATTGCTATTTCGCTTGTGTTATTTCTACCCTTGTCGAACCTACCACTTTTGAGTAGGCTAATAGTGATCCTATATGGAAAGCTGCCATGCAATTCAAACTCCTTGTTTTGGAACAAAACAATACATGGACTCTCACTCGCCTTCCTTCCGGTCATCAGGCCATTGGTTGCAAATGGGACTATAAAATCAAGTACAATTCAGATGGTTCCGTCGAACGTTATAAAGCTCGCCTTGTTGCTAAAGGCTTTATCCAATAGGAAGGTATCGACTACAAAGAGACCTCCGCCCTTGTTGCCAAACTCATTACCGTTCGTTGTCTTTTGGTCGTGGCTTCTGTTCGTCATTGGTCTATTCACCAAATGGACGTTCAAAATGCCTTCCTCCATGGGGACCTTGGGAAAGAAGTATATATGCAATTGCCTCTCGGTCTTCGGTAGGGGGAGCATAATATATGCTGACTTAACAAGTCACTCTACGGGCTTAAACAAGCTTATCGTAGTTAGTTTTACAAATTTTCCACCACCATACACCAAGCCGGATATCAACAATCCAAAGCTGATTACTCTTTATTCACCAAGGTACGTGATCATTCATTCACAACCGTACTAATTTACGTCGATGACATGATCATCACAGGTAATGATGAAGTGGCCATTCATGGCCTCAAACAATTTCTTCATACTCATTTTCGAATCAAGGACCTTGGACCATTAAAATACTTTCTTGGAGTAGAAGTGGCTCGGTCCTCTTAAGGCATCTCCATCTCTCAACGGAAATACACACTTGATATCCTTGATGAAGCTAGCTTACTTGGTGCCAAACCTGCAAAATTTCCCATGGAAGAAAACTTGAAGTTATCTCCAACAGAGGGACAAGTTCTTCACAATGCTTCGAAGTATAGAAGGCATGTTGGTAAACTCATTTATCTTATGATCACCAGACTAGAGATTTCATACGTAGTCCATATACTCAGTTAATACATGCAACAACCAAGAAAACCATATCTAGAAGCCATTCATTGCCTCTTGCGATACAGAGGCACCTGGACAAGGACTTCTATTTCCTTCAAAAGAGGACTTAATGTTGACTGGTTATTGCAATGCCGATTGGGCTTGATGCCCAATTACAAGGAGATCCATCACGAATTATTGTATATTTCTTGGAGGTGCATTGGTGTATTGGAAAACTAAGAAACAAACAACCATTTCTTGGTCTTCACCAGAAGCGGAGTATCATGCCATGGCTTCTACAACATGCGAGCTTACATGGATGAAATATTTATTAGCTGACCTATGAGTTGATCATCGTATGCCAGCAAAACTATATTGTGACAATCAAGTTGCTCTACATATAGCTGTCATTCCCGTGTTTCACGAGCACACCAAGCACATAGAGATTGATTGTCATGTTGTTCGTGAGCACATTCAATCAGGGATCATCACAACAACTTACATTCGTACTAGAGCGCAATTAGCTGACATATTCTCCAAGCCACTTGGACAAGCTATGTTTCGATCCTTACTTGGCAAGATGGGTGTGATTGACATTCACACTCCACCTTGAGGGGGAGTATTGAACGACAATATTTGGAGTATCATTGAAGATTGCTTGTCTTCCTTAGTTATAGGAATAAATTGATTTGTGTAAATCATGTATTGATATTTATAGTTGACTTCCTAGAATAGCCTCATGCATTATTGTATAAATCTTGTACTCCATGTAAAGCAGAATTTGAATGAAATAAAACTACCATGATATCTTCCTTGCTTATCCTAAACCCTAGCAGCTTTATATTTTTAACAGGTCACGTGGACAACACATTTCAACTGTATAAAGGCAAAAAAGTAATTTTATTGGTAAATTGGATGCAAAATCCATACTTTGCAGCTGCTAATTGGACTCTCATGGCTAATTCAAACAAAAGTGTACAGAGTTAAATAGCGGAAGATAATAAGAACATAGCAATCTATTGTCCACTAGGGCTGGGTTCGGTTCTCAACGATTCGGTTTTTTCCCAAAACCGAAACCGAACCGAAATTTCGGTTCGGTTCAAATTTTTTCGGTTTTTTTCGGTTCGGTTTTTTTTTTCTTCCTCCAAAAATTTAAAAAAAAAATTGAAAATATGAAAGTTTACATTCAAAGTCACTTAAGAGTCATCCTTTTTCGGTTATTCAACACAACACAACACACACACACCATGCCCATTGTGACCGCTGATGCTCGTCATAGATATTTGTTTGGGCATAAACATCAGGTTTATGTTGTACTGAGGTGTGAGTCCTCACTAAGCTCAAGCAAACAAGGACGAATAGTTTTCTCCACCACCTGTGCAAAGCGTGTTACGCATAAGTGCTTTCAGTGCTTTAACTCGATTTCAGTATTGTATTTTGAAAATTATGGTCCTTTGCGTAAGGACTATCAAATGAAAAGATCTCTATTACTTACCGACTGATCAACTATCGGAATAATCGACTGCAACACCTTAGCCACATTGAACTTGATGTTTGGTACTCTACAAGAAGAAATTCTTAGCCCTACTGTGCAAACTAAATCAAACAAAAAACGTAGTTTAACTTAATAGCTTCTAATCTATACCTGTCTTTTGATGCAGTGCCAGTGACTATCACCGGTACAAGCCTGGAACAAGTGAGTTCTGATCCCAAAACAGGGGCAAGTAGGGAAATGGCATTCAAATTCAATACGAAAACTTTAACTAATTTACATAATGTTAATGACTAGGATTTCAGAATTTAAAAGCGTTTCTTGGTCTCTTAAACCAGAAAACTTCAACAAGAGTTGCTCATGCTTATACTATCACTATGTTCCTTTGCAAGTGCTAAAATTTCCTTATCAGATCATCATTACTGTCTGTAAAAGTAAAAATTTAGCACCATACTGCAAAAGCTTTTTCTGATTCACCAACATTGCTTCAGCACAAATCTTAGCTATTTGTCACATAAAAGCAGTATGCTACTAAACAGGTCTACCTTCCTCGAGAATCCAGAACAAAATTGAATACCACATAGTCCAACCACCAGATATACGTATGTACTTTATAAAAAATCTCATGTTTAACCACCAGTTCGACACACACAGAAAAAGAATATGTAAACATACAGGAAGAAAAACTTGTGAGGAGTCAATACCTGGAGGACTTTGGGGCCGAGGAGGTGAGAGGACTTTCGGAGGGTATGCGGGTCGGGCAAGGACCTGGAGGAGATGGATTTGAGTTCCATGTTGGTGAGCTCCAACTCCACCGAATCCACCACAGTACGAGTGTCATCGGACAAGGCGGAGTGGATCAAGATCATCGCCTTCACTTGTTCGAGGTTGCCGAAGCACCATCCTCTGGTTCATAGGGTTTCGATTGCGGCGTCGGAAGCAGCGCCGGAACTCCCCCATCCATTTTTCAGCGCCTGTTTGCCGCGGCGTTTGATTTTTGGGGCTCGAAACGGCAAGAAGAAGCTCACGGCGAGGGCGAGGTGTGAGAGATTGAGAGTGAGAAGGGTCGCGCCGTCGCGGGTCGCCTGGGATTCAAGACCAAGAGAGACAGAGAGTTTGAGAAAGACAGAGAGGAGGCTTGGCTGCGCGAGAAGGTTACTGGGTTAGGGTTACACTGGAGGCAGGGAAGGGAACGAGAGAGAGAAGAGGGGAATGAATAAAAGGTGTGGCTGCTAGTGGCTAGGGTTAACTTAAAGGGTTTTGTTGATTTCTCAAAAAAATTAAAAAACTTTTCTGAAATGTTGGAGGCATGAGGGTTCGAACTCTTGCGCTGCAACTTGAAAATTTTCCCTGAAACCAACTTGGCAACAGGTTTTGTTTTGTTATGATTGTATGACTAAACTATTTATAATATTGAAAAAAATAATTAAATATATATATATCGGTTTGGTTCGGTTCGGTTTCCGAACCTCAAAAATCGAAACCGAACTGACCAGATTCGGTTCGGTTCGGTTTTTTTCGGCCTCGGTCCGGTTTGGTTTTCGGTTTTTTCGGTTTTCGGTTTTTTGAACCCACCCCTATTGTCCACATTAAGGTAAACTACTTTATTATCCTCACACATTTGCCATGTGACCATAATGGATAGACATTTAGATGAAAATTTTCAAAATCTAATGTTAGAAGAGAAATTGGCTATTTTGTAAAAGTCCAGAAAGATAATCCGCTAAAATTAAAATTCAAGAGGGAAACAACTCCTAACAAGTTCAGGAAAAAATCAACAAAAACCTTTATTAGAAAATGAATATATCTAAGACCGCAAACTATCCCTCTCTTTCTCTCAAAATTAAAATAGGACCTTAAACTTTAAATGTGAGGAACTTTTGATATAAATATATAAATGTATATACACATACACAACAAAACCATCGTTTTCTTAAGGCATTAACTGCCCATTCAGGCACCAACTCTATAAATTTCCTAGGTATTTCATTATTAATTCATATTCTCTTCATCACCAATAACCCTTCTAACAATTTGCACTATTACCCACTGTTTTATACACACACACACACACACACACGTAAGTCACTACAAAATAACTTCCTTTCTAGACTAAATAATTTCGTCGGGTCAAATAAACTTTATTTAGCCGACGAATTGTCGTCGGCCAATGTTCTGGAAATAAAATTGGTTAAGTTTGAAGGCTTGCCTGACGAATTAATCATGGTTGCTGATGAAGTTAGATATGTTGGCCCGATGAAATATGTAAATTTCGTCGTGCAAATGCAAAAAATTCAAAATTTTTCCTATTTTATTTATTTATTTTAAACGTTAAAAGATCATCCAATTTGATGATCAGGTCAATTCAGTGTGTAGTTTTACCCATAGTTAGCGTCATTGAAAAAAATAATCAAAGCCAAAGGTGATATAGCCGTTAAATCATGATGATATACGTTTGTAGTAGTCGAGCGATTTCGTCCAATTACCTAATCCCTGAAAGTTTGTCTTGATGATTTTTGACAGATGCGATCTCGTACTATATTCAAACAAATTTGACGGTTGGATCATTGAAATTTATTTCGTGACTGCGTATCTCGCCAAGACAATAGATTTAACAAACACTTAGACTTTATTTTATACTTCCAATAAGCAAAGTATAAGATTTTGTGGTAACCACCAGTGTAAGTATTTTAAAATGCTGATCAGATTTGTTCATTGTTTTGTTCTATGGTCGATGAACGTAGTTGTAAAAAATAATCAAAATTGAAGCTAAAATAACTGTTAAATCGTGATGATACGTTTGTAACCATTAAGGATTACCCAATCCCTGAAGTTTGTTTTTTTTTTATTTTGGCGTATGCGATCTCACACTATATTCAAACAAATTTGAAGGTTGGATTGTTAAATTTGTTTCGTAGACTGTGTTTCCCATCAAAACAATAGACTCAACAAACACTAAGAGTTTATTTTGCACTTCCACTTAGTAGAACGTAAGCTTTTGTGGTAACCACTAGTGTAAGTATTTTAAACTGATGATTGGGTTCGTTCATTGTTTTCTTCCATGGTCAAAGAACGTTGGTGTAAAAAATCATCAAAATCGAAGCTAAATTAACCATTAGATCGTGATGGTACATTTTTAACCATTGAAGGATTTCGTCCTATTACCTAATCCTGAAAGTTTGTTTTTGGTGATTTTGGCATATGAGATCTTGTCTTATATTCAAACAAGTTTTGAATTGTTGAAATTTGTTTCGTAGATTGCATATCCCATCAAAACGATAGACCTAACAAACACTTAGAGTTTATTCTATACTTCCATTAAGTAGAATGTAAGATTTTGTGTTAAGCACGAGTGTAAATATTTAAAATTGACGATCGGGTTTGTTCATTATATCTTATGAGGTCAAGGAGCTTAGTAGTAAAAAATCATCAAAATCGGAATTAAAATAACCGGTAAACCGTGATGATACGTTTATAACCGTCGAAGGATTTCGTCTCGTTACCTAATACTGAAACTTTCATTGGGTTTTTTTTGGCATATGCCTTCTCGGTGTTGTTTGGGCCTAAAATATTAGTTTGGGCCGAGTGTAGAGTCATTCTCGACCCAGGAGGCCTTACTACAAGGTTACCATGGAGCGTTTAGTTCGTGGGCTTTCAAACTTAGATTGGTTAAGCCATACTACAAGATGAGTCGAATCCTAGCGCAATAAGAAGTCTCGGCGAGATTAATAACCCGAAAGTGAATCCGGCTCGATGAAATGATTGGTTCAAAATCCTGATAGGAGTAGGAGTACTCGAGGGGATGTTTGATTAGAAGAAGAAATCCTAATCCGAGTAAGGTGTTAACTCGACCTAGAAGGTACACTACTATAAATACAAGGCGCTGTGCAGCGTGAGAACCTCCTCAAATTCAACACACAACTGCCCTGCGCAAACTCTCTCAACAACTTGAGATTTTTATTTTCTCTTTTCATTGACACATCTTCCGTTGGCATCAACAGCACTGTGAAAGCAACCGGTGATATCTTCAGTCGGCATAGATAGCTCTGTCGCCATAGAATCAGCCGATCTCGCAACATCTTCCGTTGGCATCAACAACACTGCGGTAAGGACGGTTGGTTATCTATCCAAGTCTCGGTCGAGAAGGGTTTCCAAATCCTTATTGATTGGGGTCATCTCATTAGCCTTCTCGGTGAAGTGAGGTGTTACAGCTTACTGAGCTCGGCGCATTGCACGCCGAGTTATTTTATGATTGGATACTCTCAAGTAGGATTTAGAGTTCGGCATTTAGACGGCCGAACCACGTTCACTATTAAGACTCATATCTGCTTTGAGTATTTGTGCCCTTACACTTTGGTGTCGATTCGGCGTGAGTTTACTCTGACGAATACCATCACTGTGACCAAATTCGACGACGACGATTAGTGAACTTCGTAAGAATAGTAGCCTTGTCTTCAGGTTCGAGGACCTAAGAGGCCGAGATGTGTTCCTTCCTCGGCCGCAATCGCAAGACACAGAAGTCAGCCGCGCACCCAACGCAACATCAACAAATTTACTCCTAGGCCGAGCTCGGTCGACGAGTTGGCACGCCCCGCATTCACCGAAGGACGTAGTTAGCTTATAGATTACTCGGCCTACGTGCCACGTAGGCTTGGTAGTTTTTAGGGTCAACATTTTAGCACGCCCAGTGGGACCTAGTGCTAAACTACGAAGTTCATGCCAATTGAAACGCGATCGGTAAAAAAGAAAACAGTTATGGGAAAATCAACAACCGATTTGCCAATTCAGAGCATAGAACAAAGTGTGCCGCATGCGCAGAATCCCCTTAGCACTGTGACACCTAAGTCCACAAGTGTGACTCGTCGAGAAAAAGAAGTTAATCTCGGCGGTCAGTTTCACAGTCTAGAAATTCATAACAGGAACACCTGCATTCTCAATGAAGGGATAATAGAGGATTATGACAAGGATGGTGGTGAAGGATCTGATCCACCAACAAGATCATTTCTTCGAAAACGACTTGACGAGCAGTCTCAGACGGTTGAACAGACATTTAGTCGAGGAATCGATAAACT